ATCTTTTTTTTTTTTTTTTTCAGTATAATGTTTTCGAAAGAATTCTGAACTTGTTTGGAGCAGTGTATTTTTTTTATCATATAAAAGTGAATTACTTAAACCCTACAAAAATAATATTATCTCTGTTATAATGGTTCCATCAGGTCCTTCTTTTTCTGCATATGCTTTGCTTATTTGATTACTCATTTTGTTGTAATTATTTTTTATTATCAAATAAAATCTGCAGGTAAGTTCACTCAATAAAAAAAACAAAAAATAGTTTCCTTTTGGCTCAATGTGTGTGTGAGAATGAATGATTGATTCAACTAATTTTCTACTAAGTTTGTTGGATTTTTGAGATGAGGAATTGTCATTATACTTTGATTTATTCAAACTGTTGTTGTTATCTTTGGTTGTTATTTTATAGTGGCTCCCTACCCCAAGGAGCTCATAAACAAGAATAAATACGAGGTATTAAAAAGGGAAATGAAAAGAAGAGTGACAAAATGCATTTACGATTTTTACTAACTGCAACAATATAAAACAACAATATAACATGACATAAACATGGTACTTAGAGTCAATGAGGTTTGCAGGTGAGGTGGTCACCTACCATCTATGAATATCTTTGTTCCCCATGGTGGGAGTCTGGACATTGGTTGTAGCATGTATTGCTGTAACCTCTTCTCTGGACCAGACTGGTATCTAACTGAGGCAATGGCTCTGTTGTCCTTAATGTGCCAAGGTCATTAATTCATCCCACTTATTTGCTCGCTAGGTGGAGTATTCTATCTAAAACCTCTACATTATAGATGTTATTATTGGCAAAACATTTCAGTTGTCTTCAGGTGCCCATTATTTTTTTTTGCCTGATAATGGATTTTTATTTTTTGTCCTTGTCATGTTGTTTCTTTACTATTCCTACTGTTTCCCTGATGCCATTCTCAATGGAAGTAAATGTAACATCCTCTGATACCATTTTCCATACTGATAATTATTATGTCACCTCGGCATCACTTACCAGGAAGAAAATATTCTATGCCTAGAATTTCTTTATAAACTAGATGTACAAATACTGCAAAGATAATTGGAGTCAACAAGGTGTTGGAATTATCACAGCAAATTTCTATTTTGAATAAAAGGTTCAATTTGAAATTCTGAGATTACTGGATGCAGAAGGCCAGAGGGACAAAATGTGGACATCAGTTTGAATAAATCAATGTCTGCTACAAGAAAACGTAGCAAAAATGTACAAAGACAATATATGGTTTTACCCAGAGACCAGTTTATAATCGGAATGAAACCAGTAATAAGATTTTGCCTGAAGATTAATAACTCAATAACGACAAAGAAAACTTGAAAAAAATGATTGAATAGTAAGTTGTTTAAAGTCCTCAGGCAAAAATGTTTAATAAATCTTTAAAATACATATATATCGTAATTTTTGAGATTATTATCTTACTATTTAGACCAACATGTTCATCTTTGTTTTTATACTTGCAATGTTTTTGGTGTTGTTCTCTCTGGACTTCATTAGTGTTTCTCATATTTAGTAAACTTTCCAGAATTTTGAAGAAAATCTTTTATTCAATCCACTTGCCATGCTCAGTAAGAAGGTTTAGCAATGGTATTGCCATTATCTCCAGTAATGGCAAACATCCATATGGAATACTTGCTATAGGAATGTTACTACAAAAACAATTTATGTGGCTTAGATACATAGATGGCATCATCTTACTCAAAATTTACCAAGAAGATGTGTAAGCATTGCTAGACCACACAAATTCAGTAACACCTTCCATTTATTTCATATTGGAAAAGGAAATTAATCAACTGGCTTTCCTTCTTGAACAGAGTGTGAGTTCAAAACATTCATATATTGTAAGCCATATTCACTGAACAATACCTGAGTTTTTATTCCAACTATCTACACACCATCAAGAATGCCTACAGGTAAAACTTTTAATTTCCTGACACTTGTGAGTTCACACCATAGAGACTATGTAACATAGATCTTATACTATAGTTCAGTGGAAGGAATGGGCAAGCAATACAAAAGCAAATAAACTCAAGAAAACAAAGTGATATAAAATATTTGCTAAGAATGGAAAGGAGAATGAGAACAGTCTATGGATTAAATAAAGTGTTCAATTCAGAATTCCAAGTAAGTTACCTGAAGAAGGCCATAGAGTTTAACAGTTGAAATGTTGCGAGTAGAACAACCAAGGTAAGCTTACTAGTCTGAATGGAATCTCATATGACAGCTCTATATCATGTCATCTATTGTATTTATATGTAAACTAGTCTGTGTTGTGATTGACAGTATTTGCCACAGCTTTTGAGTGTTATTACTGACTTGAGTGGAAAATTACTTATGGGAAAGAAGTTTATGAAAGTGCTTACTTAACCATTCCTTTCTTTGTCAACTAATGTAGCATGCCAGTGACAAAACTTTTGGTGATGGGATAAAGCAAATTGGGTGTGAGTTCATGCCTTTCTCAAGGATATGAGTGTGCAGTGAACCAAATATGCATGTAAACCAATGGCATCATTTCATGGAAAATATAAAATATTATAATTTAGATATCTCATTGTCATCATTATATCCTTATAAATATTGGTTTTATGATACAAATTTCTTGTTCTGTTTTGGTTGTTGCATGTTATAATAATAATTTGAATTTACTATTATGGTATTTGGAATATTATCATAATATGTGTTAATTTTTAAACATTTGTAGATGTTTCTATATTTGATGGCATCCCCCACCACACACATTTACATTTAATATTACGTTTCTTTGGAGTTAGGCTAGGAACAAGTATTACAATTTTTTATATATATATATATATATATATATATATATATATTATTTATATATTATATGCGCGGGTACTTATTAGAAAGTGCTCAATATCAGAGATAGAGCTAACATATTTGGTTGGATCCAACCAAATATATAAAGCCCTTCCCACTGGAGACATTGTTAGCCTCTTGCTGCTCAAACACTATTTCCATGGAAAGTGTTCAGATGAATTACATTCCTTAGTTTAACTTGTTCTAACCTTCACAGCTAAAACCTGCCATGCCATGCCACGCCCATTGTAGTGGACAACCCTCATTCCCTTTGTATACCATTGGTGAAATGTAAGTTCCACTCAAGCAGCTTCTTTCCATTGTGGAACCGACTCCTAAGAGGATGCTCCCCATATCACTACAATCTTAACTTGTTCAAATCTAGGATTAACAGTTCTTCTCCATATATCTCCATAAACTGTGCTTCTTATTCTGTAACCCTCTACTTCGAGTGGCCCTTGGATCTTGTATAAGGTGGACATCATTGTAAAATATATATATATATATATTTACAAATCTACTATTCATCTGTACATTGAATACTGTTGCCATACCTGGTCAGGTGCTCCTGTTAGTCACTCCAAGGTTGTTGATAAAATCCTAAGAAGGATCTGCAATGTACTTGATCCTGACTTGGCATCTCGACTTCAGTCACTTTCTCACCAACGGGACATGGCTCCCCTCTGTCTTTGCTACAAATATTTTCAAGGTAACTGCTCTAATGAGCTTTTCTTCCTTGGTGCCCCTGCTACATGAATTTAAGGATGTTACTAGATTGACATCTAGGTCCCACCCATTTACCGTTGAAATAGCTAAATGCTACTACCACTTCTACTCCAGCAGTTTCTTTTCTCACACTTCCCACCTGTGGAACTCCCTTCCAGTTACTTGCATCCATGATAACTACAATCTTTAAAAATTTAAATGCTACATCAATCACCATCTTCTATTTTCTTGAATCCCCATTCATCTTTTATCCTTTCCTTAATCCTCCCCATAATCAGTCTTCTCTCTCACTTTCACTCCCTATAACCACCTGCGTATTAGTGGCATTATTGCCTTGCTTGGGGTGAAATGATTAACAAAATCAAAATAAAGTGGCAGTGACAAAAGAACAAATGGACATAAGACATGATTGAGACAAGGGAAAGTGTTTTTATTTCCTGTGACTTAAAAAGTTTGATTATTTGCTCATTCTAGGGTATCCTATATCAGTTATGGGAGACTGATAGTTTATTCAGTATATAACACAAAGTAGTAGTTGAGATAGACATGTGGAGAAAATTGACAGCGATATGCAGTAGAGTGACATAGACATGTGTAGAGGTAAACCCCCTGTGTACTAGCAGCATTCACATCTTGCTTAGGGTACAATGATTACAAATATACACACACACTACAGTTCAAAAGTTTGAAGCAACTCCCAGAATTAACATGGAATCAACTTGATAGAAGAGTGAAAAAAAATGAAAAAGAGCTTTTAGTGTCATTGAAAAAGAATGGAATAAATTATCAAATTTGTACTTTGAGAAACTTTGGCAATGAATGTCAAACATTTGTGCTGCAGTAATCAAGGCTAAAGGTGGATATTTTGACAAGAGCAAAATATAATCATAAAATGCTGGGGGGGGGCACTATAAAATTTCTAGAACAAAATCATGTCTCACTTCTTTTAACCATGTATAACAATTTGCTCTTATTTAAAGTACAAAACAACTACTTTTGGGGCCAAATTAAAGAATTACCTGGGAGTGGCCTCAAACTTTTTTGAAATAAATATATATATATATATATATATATATATATATATATATATATATATATATATATATACACACATCATACTATTTAGACTATTTTTTTTGTATCTTTTATTTAATGTGCATGGTTATATGTATAATGTTATGTTCTTTTTCTATATGCAATAAAAATTGTTTTAATATAGTATGTACTATGTTAGATGTTACATATGAAACCTATTGTTAATGTATTTATATCTTTGTGAATATATTGCTTTTGATGCTATAATGTTGTTGCATGTTAAATAGAACTTTGTTATTTGCAATTGTCTTTTATTTCTCATTCACCTCAAAATATAAATCTTGAAAGCAAAATCCGATTCTTTCATATTTATTTTCTAACAATTTTCCTCTTTTTATTGTAGAATGATGAGCAAATCATCGACTGAAGAAAGCGAACTTGAGACACCACCACCCCTTCCCGAAAAACAACGTGTCCCAAGCTCCACAGCTTTGGGTATGATGGGTAGCAGCAAAGGAGATAGCAATGGCCACTCCTCGTCCAGTCAGTCACCCCATAGTAGCATGCTGTTTCCAAGCCCATCACAGGACCATTCACTTGGTGGCTGTAGTAACAGCTCTGGATTGGTTACCCCATCTAGCCAGTCTCCACGTAGTTGTTCCCCCTTGAGTCGCTCTCCAGCCAGCAGCATTGGTTCTGGTCTCAACCAATCGATGGATGACTTGCTTAGCAGTAGTAATCGCAGTAGTAGAACTAATAGTTTTTCTCACGCCTCTTCAGAATCCAGGTTTGTGTGTGTGTGTATGTTTGTGCATGTGTGGGTGTTTCTCTTAATTTAAGTGTCAATGTAAAATGAACCTTTGATTAATAAGATTTTTATTTAATATCCTTTTTGATTTAGTGACATATATTTTAAAACACATTTAAAATTTACAGATGTTAGTCTTACGAGAAAAATAGTAAATTCAATGAACATATTTAATTTAAATTAGTAAAGCTTTTTTGAAAGGTTCATGAATTGCATTAATCAAGGGTTCACCATATTAAAACTTTGATCAGATGATGTTATATATTAAAACATTTAGGAATAAAGATAATATATTCTTTGAAAATATTCATGGATATTCATAATTGAAAATGAGTAAAGATATTCAGTGTATTTGAGATGTTTGAAATTATATCCATGTGTATGAGATATATAGTTATATTTGGAAAAATATGTGTCTTTGAGAAGGATAAAGATCTGTGTGTGTATGTATATATATATATATATATATATATATATATATATATAATTCAGATATAAATAAAATATATTTGTAAAAAGACTGAATAAAGATAACTTTTCTTGAAATTCATCAGTGGATGAAACATGTTGGTAAAGAAAAGTTTTCCTTTCATCTTTATTCACACTCACACATGCACACATATGTGTATGTGTGTGTGGATATATATATATATATATATATATATATATATATATATATATATATATATATATAAAATGTGTCTGTGTAAGGTTAGTCAAAAGTAATGCCAAATCTTTAATTATAACAGACTTAATAGTACAAGCACACATTGCATAACAAAATGAACAAAAAATTTCAGGATTCAAAATCTAGTCCTCAATATATTCCCCTTCATTCTCAATCGTAGTCTATAGTTAAGATATAAATTAATACCTGTTCTTTAATTATAACGGATTTAATAGTCGAAGCACCCAAAGCCTACCGCAATGAACACAAAGATGTAAGGATTTCAAATCTAGCCCAGAACATAGTCTCCTTCTGTTGCAATTGTCACATTTCCTCTTTTGAATAAAGAGTTATATATCTGTCTCATAGAAGCTTCTTAGCTGCTTTCTTCGCCACGTCTTAGTTACCTCTCATCATGAGAGAACTGTTGTTCTCTGACTGCTATCCATGTAGTACTGTGCCAGAAGTTCTTGGACAGTAGCCAATCTCTGTTCCTTCATGAAGTCTTTTAGCATTCTGGGAACCCATATTGCACAAACCTTTGATTATCTAAGAGGTTAAATTGGAGGCATTACCATAGCTCAGACTTTCACAGAGTATTGCCATTGTGATTCTTCTGTCAGCTGTAATCAGAACATCAATCTATTAGGCTTTATACTCTTTAACAGAGTAGAAGGCCTGCTACAGCTGGGCCTATCATTAAGGTCCATTTCGCCTTTCTGTCTAGGATTGGCATTAATTCTACTGAATCATCATTCTAATGTGTTTGCATTAAGTATGGCCTTTCCATAAACTGCCCACTAACCTCCTGTTCTTTTTTTTGCAGCACTGTTTTCTACCCCCAAAATAAATTCTATGATAGCTCTTTGCTTTTGTATATTTCCAGGAGGTTAGTTATTTTCAAAGGGGTTTATGTGTAGGAAAAGAGAAGATAATTCCCCAAATCTTTCCCCAGCAGTTTCTATACACTTTATGACTTCTTGCTACCCCTCCCCCATGAATTCTGATTAATACTTTTAAAATTAGAATAGGCTTTACTTTTTGACTGATCCTTGCATATGTAATGTTATGTATGTATGTATGTATGTATATATATATATATATGTTAGTTTTAAGGTATATTATATTTATGGATTAAAGTGCTCAATATCAGGGATAGAGCATATGTAAATATGAAAATGGTCATTGAGGTCAACACACAGTGGCAATACTCTGTTACATGCTTAAGCACAATCTTCAGGCCATGAAGAATGTTATTTAAGCATGAAACACTGTCAATGCTGGGTGTTAACCTCAGTGTCCACTTATGTGTTCATGTGAGATATAATTAGTTTATTAAACAAAGCATGTTTTATTTAAAATTCTTTTTCAGATGTGACAATTCTTTTAACTGCTATGAACCATTACTAATCTTTGTAGATAATTGTATAAAATTTACATTATATAAAGTGCAATGAAGTAACATTCAGCAAACTATAGTGAATTCCTCATTCTTTAAGGAATTAAGATTTTCAAAGTTTTATCAAAAGTTTAAGTATTACTGAATAAAAGAAATGTTTCAAAATATGTGTTATTGATAAAAATCAGTAATTAGTAAATCTTTAAAATTTGATACTTAAAACTTTCACTTATTGATTGTAGATCAAGTTGAAAAAAATTCTAGCATTTTTTTCTTTTTGGCTAAACTTTTTATTCATATACAGGGTAATTAAAAGTAACTCCCCATTTTAAAATACTTATAATTTATTTATTAACTTTTTTTTTAATGAGAAATTTATTTATTGAAAAAAAATTTTGAACAAAGTAACTATAAACAATTACAATTTTTACAAAAAATGGATATGAGTGTTTAGCATGAGGTTTATTTAAAATTTGATATGGGCACCAGATTTTGCTACCAGCTTCTTGAGCTGCTCAGGAATCACATCAGCTGATTTCACTCGGGACACTTGTATTATGGAAGACATAACTTCTTGTATTCACACTAAGTTCTTTCAAAGTCTTGGTTTGGTATAGTGGACTTGGTTCTTTAACCAATCCCAAAGAAAAAAGTAACAGAGTGTTAAGCCAGGACTCCTGGCTAGTCACTCAGACATAAAATAGGGAGTTACTTTTCAATTACCCTGTAAATTAATTGCATCATTATTCACTTATCAAGTTCTTTTCTTTGGCTCCCACTGACAATATGCCAAGTTTCAGCTAAAGTTAGCTTGAAAAAATGATTCTAGTTTTGATTTGATGGTATGCTTGTAAGAATTTTGGAACCACTAAGCAGACCAATTTTGAATAGAGCAGAAGTCGTCCATCGTCATGATGGTTTGCTGTGTCACATTTGCAAACATTGGAATAGGTGTTGTCATCCATTTTTTTTCACTATTTTGTCTTCAGAATTTTGTGTAGAACTTATTTTCCTATGTTCTGAATATTTTTTTTAAGGATTTTAAATAATAAAGAAATTCAAAGTAGATTCCAAAAATATTTCTAAGTGTAACAAGCGAGCTATGGAAGAAAGATTTATTCTCCCTTTTGTATTTTGCCCTGTTGGGCATTATTATATTTGTAATATTGCAACACTCTATTTCATGGATGGAATGAAATGGCTGAAAGGAAAAGGAATGATAAACATTCTTTATTCTCAGAGAGACTTTTATACTACCATGACATACACAAAATTATATATACATATATGTCCTGCATGGAGAATAATATATCACATATATCTACACAGCGAAACAGAGTGTAAGGAGAAACAAAAAGGAAGGGTTTTACATACAATATGGAGATACTCCTGTGTCTGGAGAAGCCATGTTACAAATCCAGATTCAAACAGGCCATATTCATCTATGTAACAGGGATGGACATATTCTACAAATGGAAAACAGCGGGTTTTATTCTATATCTAAGAAAGATATATTCCGAAAGGGAAACAGCACAATGTGCTAGTAAGCTGTTGGGGAGGCAGATTTAGCCTCTGCCTCTGCCTCTGCCTCTGCCATGGGGAGCCCGGCGTAAAGAAAGCAACCTTACTGTCTAGCTGCTGAAAAAAAAACTAAAAAATGATCAGCACTTTTGCTGCTGTATAGAGTGACGTCATTAAGCATCCATTATGTGACCCACATGACTTATCTCCACCAAAGGGAGATAAGCACCTTCATATATCCCATTGTATAAAAGATGGCAGTGGAAAGTTTTACATCAGCCTAATAATTTCAGTGAGATTTTGTTTTTCTGTTATGTAAATTATAATAATGATAAATTCTGCCAGAAAAAGATCTAATATTTAATATAAAACTAATTCTAATCTAATATGGGTGATTGCTTATTAGAGCAAGAATGTTGATTGTACACCTAGTTTAAATTTCATGTAGCATCCATAATAACAATGCACACTTCAATCTTGCATACTTAGGTTATCTCCCTTAGATGTCAAAATGAGGCACAATTTTTTTTTTCTAAGGACCCTTGTTCAAATAGGAATGATTGAAGACATGTTTTTGTAATATATCAATTCATATCTCCATGGAATGGTAATTAAATTCAGCCAAAGTTGCAAAACCATGGTATATCATAAGAATTTTGTCTAAGAGTAACCAAAGTTCCTGTAAAACTATTTAATTCCTTGAAGCATTTCATATCTTGTAATACCTATTCTTTTATTGTACCCAGTAAATTGGATTTTATATGTATGTATGTATATATGTATATATTTTCTTAATATAACTTTTTTTGTTTTCTGCTTTTAGGAGTGCTACAATGGAGAGTAGTGTTGAGTATGTCCATGCTGTGGATGAGATCAACCAGTTGACCAAGAAGATCAATCAACTAACAACCAGCATTAAAGATGTCCCTCCCCCTGTGCCTGCTAAGAGTTTAAAGTCTCCCCGCTTCCCGTCCCATTATGACAACATGCCTCTTATAGAGGGTTCTGGGAGCCTGATGACTGGGGGCCTGCCGGTCAGTAGTTTGATGGGCATCTGCAGCCTTAGCAGCAACATGAGCAGTCACGTTACCACCTGTAGCAGCAGCAGTAGTAGTAGTAGTAGTAGTAGTAGTCACAGTAGCCGCATGCTCTCTCAGTTCAGCAGCAGTGCTATGGCAAGTACCAGTGGCTTGACATCTTTCTCTCACTTTCACAGTCAAAAAGCCAGCTCTTTTTTCTTCGCACAAACCTCACAGGAGACAATTTCCAGTTCAGACTTCTCATCTGGGGCCAGTCATTCAAGTCTGGAAAGTTTGCACCAACAAGGACCGCCACCATTACCGCCAAAGAAAAAACACAGTATGTGTCATTTATACTTTTTCTTTTTCTTTTTCTTTTCTGCATTTCATTATTCTTTTTATTGATTCTTCTTGAATTTATGCAAACTAGAACAGAATTCTTCAATCTGTAACTTATAGTCAGTGGTGGCATCCTAAATTTCCAGGAACCAGTTCTATAAAGGCAAGTCATCTTTAGGAACCTATTCTGCTTATTTTCTGTTCAATCTGAGAATTGAAACAAATCACTTTATAGTATCAAAAAGAATTAAACCATTTTGATAATTTAATAGAAAACATTTATTTATGAAGATATTTTCAGACCGAAATTCTGTTCTCATCATATTTCTGTTCAGAAGTTTGATGCTTTTTGACTCTAGTGTCATCTGTTGTGTTATGGTTTCTTAGCCACATTTGAACTGAATTGCTGCAGTCTCAAAGATCCAATGGAAGGTCTGTCAACTTTATGACCAGAAGATTTGCTATATTTTTAACTTCAAAACAAAAGGGGGCAAGTGTCTTTTAGAGTTTCACTAGTTGCACACATGAGTGTAACATAACTAACATTTTACCTAGACCATTGGCTAACATTATTTTCTAATACTACAGGAACCAGTTCACTAAGCTTTTATAATTTTAAGAATCGGTTTGTACAAACTAATAGGATGCCACCACTGCTTACAGCTATATGCAGTAAAACATTACCATCCTTGTACATGAACGGTTGATAAACCATAAAACAGCCAAACATCTTTGTACACCAACTATGTGGACTTCACCATCGATAAATCGTCAACTGCAATTTCACATACTCAAAGTTGACCTAATTAGCAAAATATTTGTTAAACTAAAGCTCATCATCATCATCATCATCATCATGATGTGTGTTTGTAGCGTTACTACACATCTGAGTATCTAACCAGTTCCCTCCACATACTCAGCTTGAAAGCTGAAGAAGCATTTATTCATGCATAACGTGTTTTGGGCAAGTAGACCAAGCAGAATGTATCTCTCTTTTGGTCAAACTGTAGCCATTGTCCTTCAACTTGATGGTTTACCTTGGTCATGGTGATGGCAGTTGATTCTGTTGAGGGAACCCTTTGTCCTGGCCTTCAGTCTAAGAAGCTCTCTGCCCAGTGGTACTGTGTGATTACTGTACTGGTTGCATTCATAGCTATGGATCCCAGATAATCGTTGACTTTACAAGAAGTTTCCACAAAGTAGAGGTTCTTGGTAAGAAGCTGTCTGAGTGTAACTTCCTTTTTAGTAATGGAAAACGAAGGAAATGATGATGGTTCATCACAGTGTATGGAGCACGGCAGGTCTTAGTTGTTAAGGTCAGGAGTGGTGAAACGTAGCTTTTCATAATATTTGCCATTGAAATATCAATAGAGTAGTGAGAGGCTTGTGATGTTTCATGAATTTTAGACTAACCTGTTGCATTCACTTTTGTACAAATGTCCTTGGGAAATGCATGAATCCATCTCTTCTTAACACTCCCAGCTATGGGTTAAACAGTGAGTTAGACTGGACTTACTAGCCTTGGATGGCAACTAATCTAAGAGATGGCAAGTTGACAAGATGGCAATTTACAGATAAAAAAAGAGAAGGAATATGTGGAGAGCCATGATCACCTCAATCCTGAAAAGGACATGACATTAAAAAAATAAGTTTAATAAAAACAGTTCCATTTACAGAAAGACAAGGACTATAACAAAAAAAAAACTTTTTAATTTATATTAATTTTATTGGAACATTTAATCACATTGTCATTTGGGTTGATTTGGTTTCCAATAAGACCATAAAGAATCTACAATAATTTTTATGTAACTCTTTTATTTATTGAGACTTTTTACTGAATGTAGTTCTCAAAAAATTCAATTAAATTAATTTTATTTTAATTTAAATCCATAAAGGTTTACAAATTTAAATCTAATCAGAATTATATTTTTTAATTATTTTAGGTGAGAATATCATGTATATGTAAAATGATCACTGATTCTATATGAGGAGGTGCTGTAAAGGTCACTAAGTGCTTCCCATAGGTTTGCATATATGATTTGGTCATTGTCTAATACAGCAGATGAATAGAATAGCTTCTGCTGTTTTTCTCTAAAATAAAAACAAACTTTTTACTGTAGAAAAATCTCATTATATAATCAGAATATAATTGAAACATTTGTCTTCTCATGAAATTCTGTCTTGTAAATTCTTGAACATCTGCCCTCAAAACATATTGACTTTTTACATATTAGTATCAAAAGAACTAAATATTGCAATGACTAACAATACACAGTCAGGGTTACTAGATTATTCTATAAGTTATGAATTAACTTCTATTTGAAAGTCAAATATTATTAAATTTTGGATTGATGTATGTTCAATGTCAAAAGTAGTGAAATTCAAAGTTTAATAATCTTGCGCTTTTAAAAGTGGCCCAATCTGGTAAACCAGTCCAGTCAGATAAATGCAAAGACAAAAATATATTTGTTTTGGTTCAATATTTAGTTATGGATAATCTTGTTTTTATTACAGTTAGGAAAATGTAGCAAGAATGACCACAATCTTCAATCAAGAAAAGAGGAATATTTTATAAATATTGTCTTTTATGAATTTGCTGAAAATCAAGTATAAAGAAGTGACAGTCTGTTTTGTGCTAAATAATTATCATGGCCTGAGGACTTCATTTAGCCTGATTGTCACCTCTGGGTGTTGACTTCAATGTCCACTTTTATATTTACATACACTCGATCCTATACAGTGGTGAAATAAGTATAAGACACCCCATGAAATTGTTAATAAATTCCTCTGAAAATATGTGTGGTACCTAGATCTAAGAAAGTTATTAAGAAAAATATGTTTTCAAGGGTGGAAATAAGCATAAGACAGTTCTGAAAATTTGTATGTAACAGCAAAATTGTACAAGATTCAATATTTACATTTATTCCTTTTCAATTGTAATACTTCAACACACCTGTTTTGCATTGAATCAATAAGTTTTCTGAGAGTTTCAGATGGAATTTCATTCCAATACTGTTTAATGCAAGATTCTAAAGTTTCTCTATCTTCAAATTGACGTTTATTTTTGTATACTCTTCTTGACAAAATTCCCCACGAATTTTCTATTAGGTTTAAATCTGGAGACTTTGTAGGCCAGTCTTTGTTGTCCTGTTGAAAAATGGCATTATTGGTGTCTAGACGATTCATAAATAGGACAAAACTTTTTTCCAACACATTGATATATCGAGCAGAGTTTTGTTTCCCATCACTACTAAATCAGCCTTTCTAGACACAGAAAAAGCTCGCCAAACCATAACAGATCCTCCTCCAAATGGTCTTTTTGAAAACAGCTGCTTCTTTTTTCTTAAATCATGCCAATAACACTGGTAGCCATCAGGCCCATCCAAATTAAACTTTTTCTCATCAGAAAACACCATGGTTTCCCATTTTTCTTTTGCCCATGTTACTTTTTTCTTTACCCAATCTACACACATCTTCTTGTGTTTAACAGTTAAAGCAGGGGCTGTCTTCCTGTTTCGATACATGAGATTTGGCGATTCATGGAGAAGTTGACAAATTCTTCTTGGAGTGATGGGTAAATTCTGAGGTTTTTGCAGATCTCTTGAGCTTGATTGTCCTTTAGAAGCTTCTTGAAAAAGTCACCGTCTGGCTGCATTTGTAATTTTAGGCAGACGACCTGGACATTTTCTGGTGCCATACGATTCAGGGTCCTTTAGATAATTTCTTACAACTATTCGGGACCTCGGCAGTTCTCTTGCAATGAAACTTATAGATTTTTCTTCCAGTTTATAGGCAGAAATTTGCCCTTTTTCATTTTCATTAAGGGGGGAGTTCCTAAGCATTTTGCAGTAACTTTATTCAATTATGAAATGTTTAAATAGAACTCACGTGGCTTAAAATCATGATAAGTCTTTTTCTAATCTATGCATGCACTTATTCTTCTTTTGGCATTCTCAAGTAAACCAGATATACAAATATTCAAAACTCTCTTCTAATTATTTCCACCCTCGAAAATGAAGTTTTCTTAATAAGTTTTTTGGTGGAAAGTTGTTATAAAATTAAATATGTATACTAATACCCATCGGATCTAGGTACCACACACAAATTTTTAGAGGAATTTGTGCAGTAATAAGAAAATTATTAACAATTTCATGCAGTGTCTTATACTTATTTCACCAGTGTATAACTGCAAAAATCCATAATGGGATTTTCAAGGATCCTTCTGTTATAATTAATCTACCATTTAGTTTTATTTTATTTATTTTTTTATCAAAAAAATATGTTTAAATTAAATTTCACTTAAATTATGATAATGTTATCATCTTTGGTTATTGCTTAAACTTTGATTTCTGAAAGGTCATCTTGAACATGTCTGAACAATGTAAATAGTGTAATCAGTACAATACTTCATCTCAGTAATATAGACAGATGTATTTTCATTGTTTTCATTATAACATTACTGAATGTTTTGAAAAAAAAAGTTATTTCTTCTAATTGATGTGATACTTTTGCTTGTGTTTCAGTTCAAACTTATATGCAAACATTTGGTTCTTATATGCAACCCAGCCACACGGAATTTGCTAATATATCTCGTCGTTCACTCAACTTCTTCGAGACTGAATGGCAGCATCATCATCAAGAGTTCCAACGGTCATTATATCCTCGCTCCAACACTATAAGTGTAATATCTGATATCTCTAGTGCTAGTTCAGACAACACATCTGGAATTGGTTCAGCAGAAAACATGGGCACGCCACCTGCCCTCCCTGCAAAATTAGGACGGGTAAGTATCAATTCTTAGGATGTTTCAGTCATTCATACAATGGAGGTTGTTTTTTTGTTGTTGGTATATAAAAATCTTAGATGTTGTTGTTGTTGTCTCAACTCACCTGACCTTCTCAAGATAAAAAATAAAATAGTTATTATTATTATTATGGTGTCTGCTAAAACTTATAATGACACCCAGAACTATATAAACAAAGGAATTGTATATTATACTCTCTTTATAATATCAGTCTTTCTATATGGCAATAAATGCTGGACAATCTCCTCACCGATGAAAATGAAACTTGAAGCAACAGAAATGTAGTTCAGCAGAAGGATACTGAGAATACCATGGACCAAACATGTAAGCAATGGTGAAGTTTTAGAGAAAATGAAAACAAAAAGGACATTTCTACTTAACATCAGAAAGAGACAATTCTAGGACACATAATGAGGAAAGATGGCTTGGAAAATTTGATACTCAGAGAACATATAGGAGGCAAGAAGGACAGAGGAAAACCACACATAAACTCTGCCTAGTGAGCTTGTATAAATGTATGGTAGAACAAGGTCTAGGTGAGATAACAAAATGTCAAAATTTATTAAGAGCTACAAACGACAGGAAATTGTGGAGAGCCATGATCGTCTATGTCCTGAAGGGACATGGCACATAAAAGAAAAACGATTCCCTGGTTTTGTTCTAGGCTGGTCAGCAATGTAGCCATTTTGTAGTCCAGGTTTCCTTACCAAAGGATCTGAAGAAAAAGAACAATTACTTTCTCCATTCATGCTTTTTCTTCAAGCCGTAAAACAATATTCCTAGTAGATAGACCAGTAGTAGCATTGCTACACACATACGGATGTTTTTCTCTACTCAAAAACAAGCTTAGTTGCAACCCTTCTTCTATGTATGTTCACTTTAACACATCTACCTTACACATGTGTCACACAATTTGCAAGCCTATTATAGACCTTAATTATACTCTGCTTCAAAGTAGACCTCTATCTGATTCACTCCACACCAAAACCTGTCCACCAGATGTGAACACTACAAAAGCAAAATAAAAAGTCACTCTCTGTGCAGAGGATACCAAGCATTGCATCCGGGTCAAAACAAGTCCCCCCAAAATATAAAATAAAATTTAGACATCTGAGCTAATCATGAACATTGCCACTAAAGCAAAAGTATGACACAAATTCTGAGTCATGTATCTACCCTGACTGCTTCAAAGGTCCTGCTCAGCAACACTCAAAGCAGTAGGCAAGCAGTGACAGGGTTCACCAGTAGCCTCCCAGTCAACTAACTTGACACAAGCTTCAACATCAGGCTTGTACAAAACCAATCTTCTTATCTCTTTGTTTACCTCCTTTATCAACAAAAGAGACATTCTACCTTGATCCATCATACTGGTAATATTTTGTTTTAACATATCTTGTTTCCTTCTCTTTCCAGCTTGCCGACAATATTTTGTTTTCATATGTTACTTTTGCAACTATACACACAATATATAACAATTCCTTGCATGAGGGATACTTATTGTCCTGGTAACACAAGAAAAATAAAAACAGAAATACTTCCTTTTCAACAATTTTCATTTTTCATATGGACATCATTGAATTTTCAAATCCTGTATATAATATAGATGAAAATAAGAAAAAAAATAAGCATGAAAAATATAATTATGAATTTTAATTATTAAACAAGAAATGTAATTAATTTAGTTTTATTATGTTGTAGTTTTCTTGAAGAAATCATTTATTCTTTCTTGTCTTCATTTCTGAACTTAAGTGTTGTTTTTTTTTTATTGTTTTACCTTAGAGCAGACAGGAAAATGTGCACATTTTTAGTTTCTTTTTGTTGTCGGAAGAAATTTCTAAGTTATTTGTGTTCATCTCTAGAATGTAAGGAAAGCACAATAAGAATGAAACAAAGGTAAAAAAAAATTAAGAATCTCGTTAAGCTTGTTGTCAGTTCATTAAAAATAATAAGAAAGAAGAGAGAAATTTGAAATAAGAATTTTTTCTTTGTTTTCAGCAAAAGCTGCAGTTAAATAAAATTAATGTTTTTCTCTATTTTCTTTGTTCTTTCATATTAGTTCTGTTGCTATTACTAAATACTGTTAAATTTTAATATATAGCTTCTTTTAATTTAGACTTTCATATTGTCTGTACCTTAAGCTATGTGAACTTTCAGACATAATTATTCTCTTTGAGTGAAGAATTTGTAATAAGAGAAAAAGAATGAATCAAAACAGTTTCTATATTGTTCCATAGATACTTTGATGATTGAAGTAGTTTGATTATAAAGTATCAATTCCTGAGAATTCTTCTATTAACTTGTTTTTTTATTGTCTATTATTACATTTTTATCGTTATTTATTTAGCTCTTGTTATTAAACCTTATTTGCATTATCCATCACTAATCTGGGATTAATAAAATGTAATGTTGGATTATTGGCATTCTCTTCTTACTGAAAACAAACGTGTAAATCAGTAAAAAGTTGCATAATAAAGAGAGGCTTAATTATAATCATGGAATTTCAGTTCAGATAAACTAGAAAACAATTATGAATATTTGTACTAGAAAATAGCCATATCAAAAATTTGAAATTGTTCAGATGAGTCGTGGAGCTGTTTATATTACTGGATAAGTAATAACCAACTTATATTAATGTACTTATAATAAGTGCATTATGTATGAATTTTAAATAGTTTCTGTCTGAATTTCTATGAAAGCTATTTTTGGTAATTACAGAAACTTACAGGATACCCAGTAAAAAAGAAGCAAATTCATTATCACTGTTTTATCTTTTGTGAAAAATTGACCTTGAATAATCTTGAATAAATTTCTTGAATATTCATGACCTTGAATAATCATTCAACTCCTATGTAATTACATAACTCTAATTGGTTCTTTTATGATTGATTGCTGCTTGACCTTGTAACTCGTCATTTAAAGATTGTTTGCAAACAACTTTCATTGTGTCCTTCTTGTATGGCTAAACAACTCAATGATTTTGAGCGTCAAGTTTTCAAAGAAGAACATCCAACATGGGGATTGACAAAATGTGCAGAAATTCTTCTTGAATTTTTTCAGCCACATCAGTCGTCACCAGTTTTCAATGGTTGTCTCGTATCTTTCTGAAATTATCGCTTTTTTACTGTGCACTCTGTTTTAAAACTAAAGAAATTCAAAATGTTAACAAAGTCAATGGATGATAGAATCTTACATTTCAAATGAAATGATTTACATCTGTTTTCAAAATTTCATCTTGTTAATCTATAGGCTTCAGTATTTCATATATTTTAAAATTTCTTCATTTTGTATGCTATTTAATGATTTAATCACTATGTAATTAATGTGTTAATTGATTATTTTACTGTTCTATCTCCAAACCCAGGGCCTTCTCGCTCCTGTTAGAGGAACCCCTCTGCCCTGATTGATCATGTCTTCAGGGGCGTAGCAGTCATACTCACCATGCTTAGCCAATTGCAGGTTGATGAGGCCATAGTTGGATGTTTTGAATTCAGAGTTGTCCTTCTCCTCCTCAAATGATTGCTACCCAAAGCTATAGAACCCAGTCTGTCCTGCTATTTACTCATAGCTGGGGTGAGAAGAGATAAATTCATATCTTTCCCAAGGGAAAGGTATGAATCACATAAGTGAATGTAATGAACTCAAATGAAATTCAAGCTCTGATTTCTGATTGAGCAAAATCAATCGGAATTGCTATCCATTACTTCACAGTGCCTCTATCTGTTCTAGGCTTAAAAATTTGGCAAAAATACAAAAAAATACCTTGTATTCTTCACTTATACATTTAAGTTCATTATTTGCAGATGATGCATAATAATGCTATACAAATATTTGTGTACAGAATTATTTAAATTCATCCATTGTAGCAAAATTAATGAAGTGTAAGCGTTCTCAAAGCAAATTTGTGGCTTTCACAACACAATGAAAGAAAATCACTTGTAACACATCAGGAAAATAACTCACGAACGCCATAGCCAAAACTGCCCGAATTTTTTCCTTCCCCAAGTCGACAACTTGATTATCTCGTTCTCTACAATTAATAAAGTTGCATTTGACACACACTTTATGTGCATGTTGTGTCTGTGATAGAAAACATTGAAAAGATTTACAGCCGACTTGATATTGGTAATACAAATGCATTTGGTAAGATTGGTAAATTCAAAAGTGAATTGAAATGTTTGCAGTTCTAAGTGTGTGTGTGTGTGTGTGGATATATATTTTCAGATCCTGTAAGGTAATATCTCTTCCCATATAAATAGAAAATTTGTTTTTCAAATAAAACTCAATTTATTTATTTATTTTTTTTTTGTCCACTTTCTTAGAATAATGTTGTCTTATTATGTGTCATTACTATTAACTTTCTCAGCAAAGCCATATAAATACTGACTGTTTGGTTAATGAATATTGAATGTTTCCTTATAATAATAATAATAATACTACCCTGACTATCAGCAATGCCTAATATTTCCTTTAGACTAAGAATGAAACTGTTTTTTTATTGTACTCTATTAATAACAGTCCATCTACTTGTAAAATATAAGTATCTCAAAAGTTAAAAGATGCATTTTATAAAATAACTATCTTTGCAACTTTTCTATGTCTAGGCCTCAAACCGGCAGAGCCAAGCTTCAACAATATCCAGCCAGTCAGATGCCTCCACTGAAGGTCCAGCAGAGGTGGTTCGAGAGAAATCGGCCAGCATGATAGAACCTCCAGTGGTTCCACCTACGACTCCAGAAATGTGAGTAAAAATAATCATTTTGTGTGTATGTGTGTGTGTGTGTGTGTGTGTGTGAGAGTGAGTGAGTGTGTTAGATTTGCCAGAAAGTTCTGGCTCATTTAGGAAACGGAAAGAAATCAACAAAATTTTATGGAGCAACACCAACATTTGTTCTTCAAAATAAAGTCCATCATTCTTGACAATCTTCTGCCAGTGATCAGCCAGCATCTGAATCTGTTCCCAATACCAGTCCGCTGGCTTTGAACCAAAAGACTGTATTCAAGCTTCCTTCGCGTTATCAAAAGTGTTGAATTGCTGGTTGCAGAGGAAGTGTGCCATTTTGAAATCGATTGACACATATCTAAGGTAGGATCATTCACATTGATGTTTGGACATGTACAAGCATTGATTCATTTAAAATATGTCCGTACATCACTTGTCATCACATGTGACAAAAATATTACCTGTTGATCAGCATGATATGCTAATAAGACTTGATGGCTGTCATTAATGTCACCAGAATTACATCAGATAAAGTTATGCCTTATTTTCAGTGGGATATGTCGAAGATTATTTTTTCTGGGCAACTCTGAGTGAAAGTACTGAGATATACTGTATACAACTGCAAAGTGTGGCTGATACAATTGCCAAAAGACAATTGTGCCAAAACTATTTCATACCAGATCATATATTGCATCTATCATAAACACTTTACAGAGCATGTTCTTTGATTACCCCTAATAGAGGTAAATAATAATACAACATGTTTAACAGTTAATGGGTAATAATACCACATGTCTGGTAAATATTATCATGTAGTCACTAATATAATGGGAGAGAGTGCTATGATAGAATGGTTTATTCTCCCATTTGTATTCCCCACCCAATTATGGGCATTATTATAGCCATGACATAATAACATTGTAGTTAATGGATGGAATATGGAGAAGCCATGTTAAAGACTGCAGATTCAAACAGGCTGGATTCAAGCAAGGAAGTATTCCGCAAATGGGAAACGGCAAGTCTTGGGTTTTCCCAAATTGAGGATTGCAAGCTGAAGTTTCTTTCTATATCTTGGGGAAGATATATTCCCAAAGAGAAACACTACCATGGCCTTGTAAGCTGTCAGGGGAGCTTTATAATAAAGCAACCTTTTGGTTTGGGTCCTGTAAACTGCTACTCTCATCATTGTATGGACTGATGTCACTAAGCAGCTGTCATGTGACTTATCTCCACCAAAGGGAGATAATCATCTTATGTATCCCTACACCCCAATTTTCTGCCTTCTACAGAACTTCCTGAATGATCAGAACTTTCAAAAAGCTAATGCAAAAATAGAACTGCAAACTTTCTTCAGTTTGGAATTGATGTCATTCTGTTATAAAGGAATCAGTGATTTTCATATACAAATCCTTATATTGAATAAGTGTTCTGTATTTGTCTCTTTCTTTCTTAACATAAGACAGATTTGCTGACAATATAAAATATTTGTTCTCTACCAAATCAACCAAATGTATTATTAAGTTAAGAGTGCTATTCGATATAGTGTTTGTTTTATAAAGTCTGAATTTTATTACAACTTCTTGATTGATTAATGCAATGTATTCTTCCTTCTCAATATTGGTAAATCTTGACTTTTAGTCATAGTGATAGCAAAATGAGTCATTTGTATTTCAAGTAGACATTATAGTGCTATATTTACTATATTTATGTAGAAGTAATAGATTTATATTTATATTTTTCTATTAGTTGTAAAAAGCTGAAAGTTGGTTTCATTTGTTTGTTATGGTTTATCAAACTTTTGCCAGAAAATATTTTTAGATTGTAAGAATTTTTTGGAGACAATAAGTATTTACTGATACAAGTCTTACTAATTAACTGCTAGCTGAGATGAGAAGAGGCAGATGTATACTTTTCCAAGGTTATTTGCACATAATTGCTCGGATGAACTGCATCCCTTGGTTGCACCAGGTCTGACCTTCATGACTATGACAAGCCATGTCACTTATATAGTAGCAAACCACCTTCATTCCCCTTGATATTCCATTGACGAGTTTCACTAAAACAGCTTCTTTCCGCAAACCACTGCCCTATGGAACACTCTCAAGAGGATGTTTCCTTGATCACTACAATCTTAACCTGTTCAAGTTGAGAGTCAACTGTTATCTTCCTCTTTTACCTACATAAATTACCCCTTAATGTAATCCTCTACCTTGAGTGGCCCCCAGGTCATGTACAGAGCGGACCTTACTGTGTCAAAAAAAACAAAAAAAGTATATATAATGAACCTGACTGGAATTGAAACTCCAGTTTCCAATTAAAAGCTGTTATCCATTATGCCCCTCTCTCTCACATTCAAGCTTATAGCACCAAGTATTTCCAAGTAGTCATCCATCTAGGTATTGAAGTAAAAGAAAATGCATAATTTAAAAAGTTCATGACATTTCTTCTTTGTATCTTTCAGGGAACTGAAGCGATCATCAGCCCCTGCTGAAGTTAGTGAACAGACAAAACAACCTGAAAAATCCGTGTCTCCAAAAACAGAAATTCAAAAAGATGCTGACTCTGATTTCATGGAGTTAAAACCGCTAGATGATGTTGATGTATCTGATCAGCTGATTCGAAAAAGACCAGTAAGTCACGGGTTTGGCCCCTACAACTAAATGTTCAGTAAATACCCTTGCAATTATAAGAAATGTGTATTATAATGATCACATTTCTGTTTTGTATCTCTCTCTCTCTCTCTCTCTCTATATATATATATATATATATATATATATATATATATATATATATATATATATATATATATATATAGAGAGAGAGAGAGAGGTTTGATTTACGTTGGGGATCTGTTCCTATGGTGCAACGTAACCTGATTTTTGATGTAGTTGGAACTACATAAGCACCCACGTGTCTGCCTTATACTTGGAAGCCATAATGAAGGGCAAAAAATGGCAAAAAAAAAACGAGATAATGAATGTAAGACAATTTAATATGTTGTACATTCGCTGAAGAAACAACACCGTCTTCCTCATATAGCACTGCCTGATGATGTATTATATTATGGGAGATGCCAGTGTAACCATGAAACACTATATTTCAGGACTGATGTAATGAGGCCATTATATATATATATATATATATATATATATATATATATATATATATAACAAATAAATCACAAATTTCCTCATATGGGGAATAGCCTATTTTGGCAAACAATGAAATACGTTGTCTGTTTTATCAACTAATAAGACAGATGGCACATTTCATCGGCTGCCGAAATAAGCTATTCCTTATATGTCATAATTTTGGATTTATTTGTTTATTAATTGTTCTGTATTAATAAATACATCATGCTTTTTTTTGTGGATCAGTTTTAATATTTTATATTACTCGGATTCACTTGCATTATATACCAATTAATTCTTTACCTTTACTATATATATATATATATATATATATATATATGTAACCAAGCTGGTAAAGGGTTTAATTTGTGCCTGATGGAAAAATTAATAATTCTGAAGTGAATGAGAGCTCATATTTTGAATAAGAAATGTAATGTGTTAAGAGATGTGTTAGTAGGACAGATAGAATCCAAACAAAATAGTAGCACAATGCAGTATCTGTGCTGGTCGAAGGTGTAACAGAGATCTGCTTGGAGTAGGCTAATTTAAAATCCATCAGAGATTAGTGAATTTAATAGAAAAAGAATAAAATAAAACACACATTCATTCTGACCGAAAGACTCCTAACAAACAGAGTTTTCTTCTTTGATTCCAACTGAAAGACACCAGCCTCACAAACAGATATTAATAATTTAATATTAAAACACACTTGGATTTCTTTCATTTTGACCTGAAGAAGCCAATCTAAAGAAGACAAAATGCATTGTCTATAAAGCAGTTTTCCATTTAGTCTGATTTATCAAAAATAAATATATATATATGTATACAGAGTGAGGTAAAAGTCGTGCACCACAGGGATAATTTATTAAAAGTATAATTACACATGAAAATTTTATTTACTAGTTATTTAATTGTTATATGTGCTGTTCAAAATGTCCTCCTTCTTTTTCAAAACACATTTCAATTCTGTACCTGCCTGATTCATTAACATGTTGAAGAGTTTCCTGTGTCATTTTACTCCATTCATATTTAATTCTTTCTTTAAGTTTCTCAATATTTCTCGGGTGCATTTTATAAATAACTGATTTCAAATGGAGACACAAAGGTATCCAACACATGATTAATTAACCCCTACAGTGCGCAACTTTTGCCTTACGCTTTTTATTTTTATTGTTTGCAGGGAGAAGATGGTCCTGAAATTAGAGGGGGGTCCGTAGATGCTCTTTTGGTTCACGCCACTGTTGCTAGCAAAAGTGGTAAGTATATTTTATCATGTCATTGAAGACTAAAAAGAAACTTTGCCAATAGAATCATGTTGTGCATTTCTGTAGTAATTCATCTGCTGTGTGTTTATATAATAGTAAATTATTGGCAATGCATTTCTTTAGTAAAATCAGTGCATTTCTGTAGTAGAGTCAGTTGCAGTGCATTCCTCTAACAAATTGCTTGCTATGCATTCTTAGCAGTGCATTTCTCTAGCAAACCAACTTTTCAACAGTAATAAGTAGCTTTTTGTAACTCTATAATATTTGAGCATTTTAACTTGATCTTCATAAATAGAAATTTCAGACTAGAATGTTTGCAGTAGAAAAATTTTCCTTACTTTATTTTGTCTTCTCTTTCTTCTATAATCTCTAACTCTTTGTTTCCTCTTTTCATTGCAGGCAAAAGTGGTAAGTGTCTTTATTCTCTTTTACTTCTTTACAAAACATTCATGTTTGGCAATAGCAATCCATATTTTGCCTACCGGAAATGGATCTTCCCTACAATCCCATGATGCTGAGCTCAGTGTTACTAAATAAAGCTCAACAAACACTTGATTTATATCAGTAAAATATCAACTTGCTTCATGAAGCCATTTTTACAAATTTTCTTTCATTTTAGTCATTGGTTATTTGGACAATTGGTGAAACTTAGTTTTAGTATATAAAACTTTTAAGTTATCTTTACTTAAAAACTATATTGAAATTGGTGGTTTTATTTTTTAAACTTTCACATCAAATTATAAAACTAGCGTAAAAATATATCTGTTACTGATTCTTTAAATGTTGTCATCACTTTGAGGCGATTAGATTGTTCAACATGAAATGCTGGAATTTTTTTCTATTTTGATATTTTTACTGTTTTTTTTTTTTTTTGTATATTTTAAAGAATATGCTTTTAATTTTAATTTTTGAATTATATATTATTTTATCCAACAACTGAACATTTGAATTTCCTTGTATAGTTGTTAACATTTCAGCTGATCTATTCTTCAACCTTTGTCAGGTGTAATTTCTGAAACCACCCTCCTCCACTTGAAACAACCAAACTAATGAGGGAATGTTCATTAATGTATCCAGCAGACTAAAGAAGACAGTATATAGAGTGTATACATACATCCATCCATACATACATACTTACATATGTTTTCTAAAAAAAATCCACATTACAACCAAAAACGTTTGCGGCACCTCTCTTTTCTTCTTTTTAATATACATACTTTTCTCTCGTTGGAACCACTATAACCTCTTTCTTATATATATATATATATATATATATATTTATAAATTGAGCCAGCACAGATTTGAACCCTGATTCTAAATTATAACTATTGACGAGCTTAGTGCTGAAAACTGTGCTACTTTGTCACCTGATAGTCACGCTGATATATACTCTTTTTCTGCTTCCTTGCTTGTCAACATTTCTCTCTGTCAATTATTTGGACCTTATCCCAGAAAGGGTACTGTGTACTATATTCCATCCACATATGATCTGTCAGACAAGATTTTACCACCTTCCCTTTCTTGTGTTTCTTAAATCTGAGTTTAAGAAGACAGTATGTTTCTTCACCCCCAACCTTTTTTTATACCTTAGCACATCTACATGGGATGTTATAAATGCAGTTCCTTTTCAGTCTTTCCTTTCATAAGAGACCAGTAGGATTCATAAGAAGGTTAGTTTTACTATTAAATACCAACCTGATCTCTTATAAGTTTTACAAATGTCTTGAATTTGTTTCACTTTTTCCTTCCTACATAAAGAATGTTGCTGTTACTGTGCTAGACTAGGCTAGTAAGTAAAATCAATGAACAATTCCATCACCAGTTTGGTTGTTTCTGGGAAAAGGTTTCCTTTGTTTTTGTGGATTACAAAGAATACTCAAGTGTTTGAATAATGTTGGATATGTTAATGACTGTTCTCAAAGTTATAGACAATATATTATTTTCATTTATTTAGTAAAGTTTAATTTCATTCTAAAACCAAATATGGAAGCACTTTTAATTTTTTGAAAGTTTAGCTAAGTTATAGTGGAATGGAAATACATCTGAAGATGAGGCCATTTGTCAATCAAAATTTGTTTTAAAAAATTTATAAGTAGTCTTCAGATTAAAAACCAGGAGTGTTTTATAAAAAGAATCAATGAAGATTATGGTGAAAAAAGATCCCAAAACTTCAGTAAGAAAATTTAGAACACATTTTTTAATGTCCCCATTAAAATCATTTCAAATCTTGAGCCACTAGTTAAAAAAAAACAAAAACAAAAAAAAATGCACAAAAATTCAGTAATTGACATCTGAATAAAAAACAAATTGTATGTACAGAAGTTTGCATTAATCATATTCAGCAATATGAAATTGTTCCATTTTTAGTCATCACTTGGGATGGAATTTGGATAATCAGAGAAGACCTGTACAAGGGCTGGATACAGCTGAGAATCCAAAACATCAACTGAAAGTATGTTAATATCCTTCGAATATTCTCGTATGTGTTTAGTAAAATTAGAGTATTTGGATATATCATAGCTTCTTTCAAAGAGGCATCAATAAGTAAACAAGCTTGAAATAGTGCTTTAAATTAATCAGTGTAGATTTTGGGGAATAAAAACAATTTCATTTTGTGGCCCTCATGTTACAAAAATAATGTTACTAAAGTTGAATTAGTTGACAATTGAGTCCTCATCACATACTGTCTATTTACTTTCTTTGCTATGAATTACGATCATGAAAACATTAAACCAATTTTTTACAGGCAAAAACAAGTCTTCAATGAATTTAATGTTTCTTCGGATAAAGAATTCTTTTGGAAATGAAGTGATAAATTGCAACAAAAATAAAATAAATATTTAGAGAGGAGGGGAAATATTTGAATTAATAATTTCACTTTGAATTTTTTAAAGTTTATTTTTCATTTTTAATATATTTGCAATTTCATGTTGAACAATCTGATACTAATATTTTTACTATAAATAAAATTTCCTAACTTGTCTGAAAATTATCTCAATAGAAACTTACATGGAAATTTAGATAAAAAATTTTGACAATAAATTTAGTTTTATGGATCATGTGTTCACTTCACCTTACTATGTAAAGTGCTTTGTTTTTCTCTTTAGCATTAATCATTCTAAAATAATTTATATAGTCAAGGTATGCAGTACCTTCACTAATTAAAATAGATCAGCATGGCAGCTACATTTTTCTTCTGTAGTACAATATGCATCTAATCCAAGAAAATTATGAAGGTTACTCTGATTATTATGAATAAAATGGAAAATATTTTATTTTTTGTATATTTACTACATAAAGGTCACAAGCTGCCTACCCTGAGTAATTACTGACAGAACATGTCTGAGATATGCATGCACACACACACACACACACACACACACACACACACACACACACACAATATAGTCCTAAAGTCTAGGGTCACTTTCTGCATTCTGAAGAATTACCCAAATGCCTTTTTCAAAACTAATTTAAATGCCCACTTCAGGCCAGTGAGACTTTCCCTTTCAGAATTTCTTTATTATATGTATTCAATAATAATAAAATTAAGCCATTACTACATTTACCTTAAAATTTCATTGCTTTTTGCCTAATCTACTTTGTTGGCTAATTTTGGTCTTAGGCTTGGCAGCTTTAAAATTTTCGGTAACACTTCACTCTAAAAAGAATTAAACACTATGCATAATGGGTTAAATAGTATCAGCATCCTCACTTAGTAGGAGTTAGTTTCATGCCTTCTTTGACCTAAATTAATTATTTATTAAATCCAGAAGGTGGCCCCCCAAACTTTTGGCTTATAGTGTGTGTCTTTGGTGTGTATAAAATCAACAAAAGTTGATGTTGCTAAAAACAGTGTTTAATGTAACATGAGATACAAAGCAATGTATAAGTGATGGTAAAAGGTACTAAACTAGATCTTTCAAATGCCTTTGTGACTTAAAGTTTATAAATATACAGAGAAGCTAGTTTCTACTATCTGTCTTGACTGCCTGAAGATTGTTTGATGAATCTCACTTCTCTAAATATGAAACTTTAAGTTGCAAAGATGTTAAAATTAAGTTTCACCAAACAATTTTTGAAAGATTACAATGTAATTAATATATAATTAATTTCTTCTCTTATTTTAATACTTTTTCCAATATAGGTTATTATTATTATTATAATAATAATATTAAGGCTTGTCAAAACAGAAAGTTTAATATTCAACTAACCAACCTATTTGAAATACCAGACTATATAAGCATTGTATATTTTGTAAAATGCTTGAAAAATTTGATTTTTAATCACAATAATTTGCTATATTTTACTTGTTTTGAGATTTAATCCTAACTAATCTTTTGAGAGCTCCAGATTATAACTGCATGAATTTTTATTTAATTCTTAATTATTTTTAATCATGCCCTAAAACATCTGCACACAATCTCCATAATCTTTATTACTGTCAATGACACAACTATTTCATAGTATTGCTTTAATTATAAAATAAACAATTTTATATGCTTGAATACTTGTATCTTATAAATTCTGATTCTACCATAAAAATTTATTTGAACAGAATCAAATTAGGGTCTTATTAAGATTCTTAAGGTGTTACTAGAAGGAACTATGTGAAATAAAGGTTAATATTTAATACTCAGTCAGTCGGTTAAGCACCATATGTGATGCACACTTGAACGATCATGTCTCTTTCAATTCATGACTGACTAGGCAGAAGATTTTCCTGTAGTAGGTTGCTGTTTCTTTCTGCGGTAGATGGTTGCCAACCAAGGCTATAGAACCCAGTATCCCCTGCTATTCAACCTATTGATCTTAATGGATTCATACATACCCTAAGTGAATGTAACAAACCTGAATGGAATTTGAATTTGCCCCTATTTTCTAAATAAATTATGAAAATACCAGTTTGGCTTGGATGAAGTTCTTTCTGAATTTGTATAAACATGTATTAATAATTGTCAAAATTAAATTGTTTGTTGGCAGTAAGTCTGTGTGCTTCAAAGTGAATAAATCATGAGATAGAAAAACATTAATAAAAAATAAAATAAAAGCTATTTCAGCACCCATTTTGAATATTCCAAGTAAGAATAGTGGAGAAAAATAATGTATTTTTATGTCTTGTGTTACATCCTCCCCATGTCTTTTGGAGTTTGCTAAAATACAAGATATATTTTTAAAACAATTCTTGGCACTCAAATGAAATTTAGTTAAGAGCAAGATATGAAGTTATGAGAAAATATTAAGCTTATTTATTATAAAGTATCTATTTTAAAAATGGTTGGTCTCATCTATGAGAAGAATTTAAATTTTCCTTTAATGTTTTGACAAGCATTAGATTATGTTATAAAATAATTGCTTAAATAATTGAAATATCTGCTTTGAAAAAATAGTGGTTCAGTTTTTCTTTGATTTACTATGTTTGTCTGCATCTAACGCTTTTCCCTCTTGAAATAATATAAACATTTTGAAAAAGTTATTTTTATTATTTATTATCAATTTTTTATCCATTTGCCTGCATACATTTTTGCCTTGAAAAGATTTATTTTTTCATAAAAAAACCTTTTGAATAATTTTCTTAAATTGTTGATTGAAGTGCATTTTTGTTGCATTGAATCCCATTAAATGCACATTATAGAAATTTCCAACATTGCAACTCAATTATGAATGATGGCAATTTCTGATGCACTTAGTGGGTTGAGCTAAACAGTTTTCTTGAAAATATCTACACATCTTCTTCAGACAATTTTCTATATAATTTTATACAACTTATATTTTATAAGTTATATATACTTGGCTATATTGAGAAACATTTTGGTGTTTTAATAAAAGGCATATTAAAATACAATTTTCTAAAATAAAGATTTTAAGAGCTTAATAATTTATGATAAAAATGAAATAACCATTTTTGGTAATGTATTTTTCATAAATTAAGATTATATTCTCAAGGTAATAATAATTTTATTATGCATTTTACTTTATATAATCTTCATGATTGATTTCTAATTTTCTACTTGAAAACAGTTATACTATAAAGTATTTTTATTTTGATAGTTGAAAATATTAACCATTATCATTCTGTATGCAACATTGCTGTACAAAAAGTTGATCCTGCCACTGAAAGCAACAGATCCCTGAACAGTAGTGCATTTGAATTTCATAGTTGCATTGTCATATCCTGCTATGGGAACAGAAAACAACTTTGAGTGAAATTAACAATAAGGTTACTGCAATTGAGAGGCCTTGAAAAAGAATACAGTAGAAAGGGAAGTAATATTAATAATGCAGAGGGCTAAAGGTTAACAAAATAACTGAAATCAGCCATGGGTGCTGAGCTGACTGTAAGTAGTTTTATTGTCTGCTTTTTCAAACATTTTTACTATTTTTATATTCAAAAGAAATGTTAAAGTGAATATTTGTTAATTTTAAAATTTTTATCTTATAAATTAGTTTATATTTCATTGTTTGCAATAGATTTTTTTCTGAAGAAGATGTCTCTTGATAATAGAAAAATTTATTCCACCTTTACTTAAAAATAAAATTGCAAAGAGGGGGAAAAATCGTTCAACCTAATAGCAATTGAAAGAAGAACAAGAAAACTCTGAAATGATGCTTTGAATTGCCCCCCTTTTTTGTGCCATGCTACTAATTACTCAACGTTAAAGACCCATCGTCATTTCTTCACACTTAAGGCTCACAAGGAGAATCTGTTAATGAAGAAGGTAAGGTTTTGTCTACTCTATCAATATGACTAGAAACTAACCCATCCTTATATCAACAAAAACAAGAGAAGCTTTCATTTGCATTTTCTCTATCTTTCTCTCTTCATTTGTCTGTCTTTTCATCTGTGTTTGTTTGTGTTTGTCTTATCATTGTGTGTTCATCTGTGTTCATCTTATTGTGTGCTTGGAAACAGTTGCTAGAATAAGAAATCTATGTTAAAATAACAACTTGGTAATAGATTGAAATATTTTTATGCATAAATTTTCAAAAGGGATCAAATTATCAAGAGTTTAATTTTAAAGAGCAATATTAATTGATGGATATAAAATTGAAAGGATTGACTTAAAAGGAAAATTACAAATGTTCAAAGTTAAATAATTTGCAGTTTATATTTATGACAATCACTACTGTTTACTAAATTTAAGTTGTACTCAAAAACTTATTTAAAAATGTTAGTGAAGATGACAAAGGCACATATTGAATCTATATTAAGAAAGTAGAGTTGTTGTTTAAAATATACATACATATATACATACATATACAAGTGTGTACATATACATATATAGAGGGGCTTATTTTCTGTGAAAAGTAGAAAAACAGAATGGCCTACTTGAAATAGAAATCATGATTTTGAAATGGAAATTTTTTTTTTTCTAACATTCGGATTTGCCAACTGCCATTTTAATTTGTTACCATGTTTGCTTTTCTAACTCTCTCATCCGACAGACATTAAAGGATAAAGTCAGTAAAATTTATAATATATCCGCCCCCCCTTACCTACTATCTCCCTATAGTTTACAGTATTTAGGAACCCAATTTTACGAAATTGGTAGTGGTAGGGGGTTCGTCTTTTTATTTTATCTTTTCTTTTTTCTATCACACATGGTGACTGAGGTGGGTGGCAATTTGTCTTTTCAGAAAGCCAAATTTTATGAATTAGACTTTTTTTTTTCCAAAATGTTATATAATAATTTCATTAAGTGACCAAAGAATAATGCAAATTTTTGTCTCTAATTGAGTTTGTGGTGCTACTTTTCTGTAGGTTTTGCCATTTTTACTTAATTCTTATTTAGGATTGCAGTATTCTTTGCAAGGGTTGTCCAAGAAACTCATTAAGTTAGATTAAGGGCTGAAATATGAGGTATGAAACCCTATCAAGCTGGAGCAACTTATCCAATGGGCAGATAGTCCAGCAAGTAAAATTTTTCATTTTCCTTTTATTTTCTTATTTTAATCTCTATCTATAAAAGGCAGGATGCGTTTGTGTTGTGTAATGAATGCATGGCCGCAATTTTCGACGGATTTGCACCAAAATTTACATGCACATGCTCCAAGTTAGCGGGAAGGCAAAGACAAACTTTGCATTTCCCAACTCCCATTGATAGTGGAAATAATCGATGTTTTCATGCTTCTATGGCAGTTTTCATGTAGTTTGCGGCCATTTTGTACTGGCCAGAGTGAGAGCCAATAGTTGGCTGACACGAATAGGCAGGAAGATTGTATTGGCCAGCGTGAGAGCCAACAGCTGACTGACACGAATGTTAACTAGCATGCTAGCATGCAAAAAAAATCGATAGCTGCAATCGTCACAAGTGGGAAAAATTTAAATCTGAATGGCACTTTACTCCAATTGGCTCATTCGCTTGCTTAAACTCAACGTTGATTTTAATTCCGTAGAACTGGGTTGGGTGTGAAAAAGTATCTGTTGTTAACATTCTTTTTTCATTCGGTTTTTCCAGTTACGAGTCCTTTTTTAAAGCTGATCGTTTTGTGTTCATTTTGTTTAGTTCTTTTTTCATAACAGATTTAATGTTTAGTATAGAGCTTAGAAAAAATTCACAGTGTGAGATAGGCAAGAAGTAAGGCATGTAGCAACATCAGCATGGCAAAGGGAACTCCTTTAAAGGCAAAAATATTTTAAGTCAGTGATACCGATTACTGTATGAGTCATACGATTTTTGAATCAAGCACGGGCAACACCGGGCCATGCTGCTAGTAACATTTATATATTGTTACACTTTCTCACTTTCAAGTATTAATGAAGTAAGAACAGAAATCTATACTGAAAACGGTAGCGGGGGGAATGGAATTCCCTAAAACCCGAAATAAATTAAGGAAAATTTGATATGGAAAATTGGTCCCTCTATATATATATATATATATATATATATATATATATACACACACACATACATACCTGTACGTGTACATATATCTGGGAATATGGGTGTTATCTATATATCTATGTATAGATAGGTTTGTGTGTGCATGTATATATCTATCAGCATGTGTGTGTGTATGTATATATATATATATATATATATATATAAATAATTATTTTTGTGTGTGTAGATATCTTTATATATGTGATTATGCCTAACTGTATATATTATTGTATCTATATACATGCACACATATATATATATATATATATATATATATATATATATATATATATATATATATATATATATATATATATATTATATATATGCACACACACACACACAGTAAGAACTAATCCATCTACTGATGTAAAATCTGCTTCTATGACCATTTGACATCTTAATGAAAGTGTTCAATATTGTTTGAGGCTTCCAGTGAATTCTTTCTTGTATTTCTTATGTTGTGTAATCACCTGAGACATATTGCACCACATTGATGATGATAATGATGAAACACCACCATCAACTGCCATTAATGGTATTAAAAACCATTAGTATATCTTACTAGCTGTGCTTTGTCTAGATATTGTAGTGTTTTTTAATAGTTGTCTACTAACACTTGTCCTCACAATTGACCCACTGCTCCCATTTTCCCTGGTTAGTTTTCTTATCTAATTTTTGCATGATGGGACATGTCATTTTTCCATCTAGATATCTATAAAGTATTAAGAATATCTTTCTATATTTCTGAGATGTGATATTGTAATTATTTACACTATTTACATTGTTCAGACTGTTCTCATCATTGTTGCCATACCTATGACATTTTGGCCATTGTACACTCCACCCTTCTTCAGGTGATTGGAATTTTGAACCAAACCCCTTATTTTGTCCACTGGGGTAGATTGTTCTAGTTTCACGTTCCATGCCTCTTCCAGATATCTCAGTTTCAATTATTTCCCTTTAGTAACTCAAATCTCCAAATTTTTGTTCACCTCTGCTGTAGCCAGATACTGAACTCACAACTCTTTGGGTCAAATCACTGGATTCAACTAATGCTTGTATTCACTAGACCATGTGTCCAGTTTACAAAATAAAGGGTTTGGTTTGAAATTCCAATCACCTGAAGAAGGCCAACAGTTGAAATGTTGGCAACAAAAATGAGAACAACAGTCCGAAAATGGAAATAGTGTAAATAAGTATTGAGAAGTATTGAATTTTTAAATTATTTTCCTGCAGTTTGAGAAATATTTTCTTTTTTAAATTTTACAATTTTAATGTTTACTATTTAAGGTTAAGTTTTTTCCCAGTTTGACTGGACTTAAGATAAAAATTTATGAAAATTTTACTCAGTGTATGTTTTTACCTAAACCAGATATTAAATGGGTTTAATATTTACTATATATGCTGTTTGATATATAGTATATGAAATAAATTCCATTCATTGCTCATGAAATGAATACCGATTAAATCCTGTATATATTTGTAGAAAATATTCTGTTCCACATTTTGTAGAATATGAAACGTGTGTTGTTACATTCCTTGTTCATGTTGTACATAAGAAGTTGACGTCCTGGTCCTCCAAAAAACTCTTCAACAGCATGTATGATCTCATCATAGTTTCCAAAATGGCAAACTAGCAAGTGGGTTTTGTGTTTAAGAAATGGGAAGAAATCAGATGGAGCTTTGTCTGGTGAGTAAGGGGGATTGGGTAGCAATTCAAAGCCACAGTTGGCTTCAGCTACTGCAACCTGAGCAGTATGAATGGGTACATTATCCTGGAGCAAGAGCATACCTGCCCTCAGCTTCTCTCTGCATTTCAACTTGTTTGCTTCCTTCAGTTGTCTTACTTTTGATTCATAGTATTGTTCATTAGTAGTTTTTCTCTTTTCCAGTTAGTCTATCATGATTACACCTTCAGAATCCCCCCCTCAAAACAGAAGCCATCACCTTGCCAACAGATACTGCCTGCTTGAACTTCTTCAATGTGGAGATCCAGATTGTTTCTGCTGTTTGCTTTGAATCTTTGATTTGGGTTCAAAGTGTTCAACCTAAGTTTCATCTTGGGTTACTAATCTGCTGTGGAAATTCTCAGGGTAAGCCTAGAACTGAGTCAGAATTGTCCTGGAAATGTTAATCCTTTTCAGCTTCTGCTCTGGTGTCAGCATTTTTGGGATGCATCTTGCAAACAGCTTGCTCATCCCCAAGATCTCAGTTAAAACAGTATGGGCCAAACCAGAAATAATGTGTATGGATAGTAAGATGTCTGTCATCCAAGACCATAAGGTGAATGGCCTAAACTTGTTCAACAGTGGTTGAAGTTTTTGGACAACCTGACTGAGGGTCATCATTTGTGCTGTCCCCACCCCGCTTGAATTCTGCAACCTACTTCTTCATGGTTGCATAGGAAAGGGAGTCCTCAGCAAATATCTCTACCATGTCCTCATGGATTTCCTTGGGGTATCATAAATTTTCCTTTGCAGATGTTTTGACTGCTTGGGCCTCTTTTTTGTCCATTTTAGATTTGTCACACACCCCTCACCTTTGTATGGGCCTCAACGGCACAGAAATTAAGACAGAAATCTGAATTAGGTTTTTCTAGTTTTATAAGTGGTGGTATTGTGTTGCCACAGCAAAAATGTTCAGCTATGGCTCTTCTTTCTAGGTGAGGCTTAGAACTTTTTGAACGACCCTTGTAACTTGAACTTTCTCTTATTTATATGCCCATGTGAAGATGTTTTTCCCTGTCACATCACTTCTAGTCACCTCTTTACAATTTGGAGCATTTATCCCTTAGTAAATTCTTAAGCATAAATACTCTATACTATATTACT